GAATAGTAACATTGAAACCAGGAAGTCTTGTTCTACGCACAGGTAAGCGAAGGAGAGTTTTGGGCGACACCACAATGAGGGGTTTCCGGAAGTTTCGAACCATCTGTCTCCGAAGCAAATGGAAATATTGTGCTGGGGTGGTTGGATGGACCACAGACATATTTATGTGGTCCCCATCGATCCCCTCTTCTGAGCTATCACACATCTGTGGAAAAAGAAAACCACAACATTTCACACTAAGTGTAGCCCTAATGGTTGACCAATTCTTTAAAACACTTGTGGACTTCAACTCCCAGAATTCTGGCTGAATTTTCCCAGATTTCTGGCTCCTCCCAGGCAGGCTGAGGAATTCTGGGAGTCGAAGTCCACACGTTTTAAAATGGCCAAGGTTGGAGACTCCTGCCTTAAAACCTGTCCTTCCAGGAGTTCGGTATACAAAAAAATACACACAGGCATGGGAGATAAATTTAAGGAGGGTTTTCTTTGCAGGAGACCACACATTTGAAGAAAGATTATCATACATTCTGGACGAAGTTGCATCTGGCTACCTGCAAGAACCGTTCAATCCTGCAAGAAGAATGTTCCGGGCCAGCCCCGTCGTAGCCGTGTGGAAGGAGAACCACCAGTCCGCTCTGCAGGAGCCACTTGGCTTCTCCTGTAGAGGAGAAATTATTCCACGTCAATAACGATACACTATCAAGGTCTGCCAAATAACATACAGGCAATCCTTGACTTACAACTATTTGTTTAGCTATCATTTGAACATCATCTGAACAACCCCCCCCCCCATCCTTCTAGCACTGATGATGTTCCCTAGTTGGGTCATGAAACGTCTGCAAGAAAACCACCAAGTTCAGAGAGCACCAAGGACCTCCCCCTTCCCCTTTTCTTCTTTTCTTCCTCCTCCCTCTCCTCATTCTCCTTTTCTTCTTCCTCCTCCTCCTCCTCCCTGCTAACCCTCCTCCCTTCTAGCACTGATGATGTTCCTTAGTTGGGTCATGAAACGTCTGCAAGAAAACTACCAAGCTCAGAGAGCACCAAGGACCCCACAGTTCTCCTCCACCACAACTACCCCCTCTTCCTCCTCCTCCTCCTCCTCCTCCTCCTCCTCCTCCTCCTCCCTGCTAACTCCCCTCCCTTCCAGCACTGATGATGTTCCCTTGTTGGGTCATGAAACGTCTGCATGAACACTACCATGCTCAGAGAGCACCCAGGACCCCCCAGTTTCAACTCTGAGCTTCAAATCTTCTCCTTTATCAGCTGTAAATGCATTTTCCATCAGAAGAGATAGCCAAGTCTCACCTCCAGAGACAAACGTGTCAAATATTATCTGAGCTCCGTTGAAGAAATCCCCAAACTGAGCCTCCCAAACGGGCAGCAGATTGGGGTTGTCAATACTCATTCCATACTCAAAGCCGAGCACTGCTTCTTCCGACAGGGGGCTGTTGCTCACCTAATGGAGAATGGGAGACACGGCGGAATGGGAAACAGCACATTTGCCGGAAATATGCCTCTTTGGGCGTGCACACACACACTTAAAAGCTAAATCATTGTAGAAGATAATGAAGGGAGGGAGGGAGGGGATAGATGGAGAAAGGAAGGAAAGAAGGAAGGTCAGAGATGAATGGATGGAAACTGATGGATGGATTGAAGGAAGGACACGGATGGAAAGAAAGACATGGATGGATGGACAGGCGGATGGACGGACAATGATGGCTTGAGGGATGGAAGGACAAGGAT